AATAATAAAATATTGTGAAGACCAAAAAAACACAAAAAGTACGTTGTCATTTGTTTACTTACTTATTTATGAGGTCGACCAGCCACCCGCGGGGAGTGCGGGAGTCGGGTGGAGGTCTAGCGTAGATGTCCTCATCTGGCACAGTGGAGTTGGGCGGAACTGACTCTGACGTTCGAGAAGCATTGAACGAGTGGAACCTACCAAGCAGATGTATAATGTTTAATCAATTTTATTATTATCCTTTTGGTTAAGTTTAGGTCATAACATAAAAATATTTAACATATACAGAAGACTCCCTCTTATCCGGGAACCTTTTAACCGGACATCGGCTTAACCGGAAAAACCGTTATCTGGACTGGCCTTGGTCCCGAGGAGCCCAGATAAGAAGGAGTCTACTGTATATATAAATGATATATGTTATCATCATAGTGCTAATTTGATTAGTTTATAAGATTAAGTTTGTATTTACCTAACACTAACGGTAAACATAAGTTAGTAATTTTATCTTATATTTTAAAGATTAAGTGTAATCATTTACAATAGCCTAGATAGTTTTCACATAAAAGTGCTTCAACCTATATCAGTTGTAAAATAAGGTGTATCCAAATACCAATTGTTAAATAGTTAATCTTAAATAGTTTTATTAACAGAATCATTTAAACTATTTGTTATCATAGACGATACAAGTAGAAGCTTAGTAAAGCAGAACCTGATTAATAGCTATTTACATTACAAGTGTAGTAAGAGCGTTTTTACATCACGCAGGTGAATGTTGTGCAACAAGCGGAAGCGAGTTGCATAATTATCCTAAGTGATGTAAACAAGCTCTTGCGTAACGTGTAACGCACAAGATTTTACCTGACCCGACAATATACAGGAGGTTACGAACAAAATTTGTCATTATCCATTTCACTCATCTTCTAACAGTAACGTTCATTTACAAGCAAAAACTAGGTTTGGAAAATTCTTCAAAGCATAACAATAACATTCAAGCGCATAGCTGATTTCTAGGGTTGAACGTCGTTGGCTCCATAGAGGTATATTTTTAAAGTTAACCACTCGATGTTATTTAAATTGGTTTCATTACCTCACCAAGTGAGTTTTTTCAACTTTCCATCGCTCGTGAAATATAGAAGTTGTATACATCACGCTTGGGATAGGGAAGTTTAACATGGCGGGTTAGGTAAAATACATTAGAACTCCTACTATCCTAATTAATTGGGACTGTCATACCTCCATAGCCTAATAAAAAACTGGACAATCGGATTTTCAAGAAAATCTTTCTAGCCAGGGTGTCTAGTTTATTTCCATTTTAAAATTCAAGACTGATTCCAGACTATTCAAGACTAGTTCTTCTAACAATTAGTTAAGTGTCGATACCAAAATTGATCGCTACCGATATCTGAAAAATCTTCTCAATTCTTGATACCGATAATTTTTTTTTAGTTTTACCAAATTTTCTAAATGAATTGGTTATACTACACCAACCCCTGTCTTTATATCATGAAGTATTTTTGAGATAATGGGGTGTTTTTCCTTTAAAGAAAAAACTATTGCAACAATACAATACAGAAGAAAATTTCTAACTAACCAATTTGGGTTTAAACTCTTCTTAACACATTAAATAACTACCATATCAAAAGTAAGTAAAGATCTAACGTCAAAAAATAAATTTTATTATAACTAGCGGTGTGCTATCCCCATATTGTGATCATCTCTGGCGGTCATAGAGACATCATCGTCAATTTCTGGGATCACTGCAAAATCCTAAATGAACAGAATCACCATTATCGTCTCCTGTGGTCACAAAAACTTTATCAACCACTCATGCGATCGTGGCATATTTAAGAATATTTCCTACGGACATATGGACATTATCTCCCGAAATCGCAACAAAACCATGAACATCTCTTATGGATATGTGGACATAGGCCTAATCATCATCTCCCGCGATATTGGAAGCCAGCGTCATCTTCGTCTTGCACAATTTTTCATTGAGATCGCGGCAAATTTATTACAATTCTTTAGCCGTATAGACATCACCATCGTTTCCAGTGATTGCGGCAATAATCTCAATATCTCTGGCGGCCGTGTAAAAATCATCACCGTCCCAAGGTTGCGGCAAAATCATGAAAATGTCCTGTAATCGAAAAAATTCTAATTATCTCTCCTAGCTGTGTAGACATCATCATCGATTCTCGTGGTCACGAAAACGGCATTGTCGTCTTGCGCAATCGTGGCAAAACATTGAAATTTTGTTTAAATTTTACATGATCCATAAAAATCCCGACTGCGACAGTTAAATAAAGACTAAATCCTGACTTTTCAAAACCATTTTTAAATTCAATACTAATTTCCGACTTTCCCGTTTTTCCAGGCTACGAGACATCCTGTCTATTATAAGACAGTAGAACTAGGCAGATGACTCATTTCGGGCCGTTCCATTCAATGCTACAATAGGCCTAGGTGCGTCTGCACAGATGACACAAAATTTGGCACACATGTTTCAAACACGTTACAGATGACCTCAAACCAGAAAAACACGACAATTAACTTATTTCTTCAGTCAGATTTTTTTCCTCCTAAGGGTGATCTGGATAGTTGGAAAAAAGGACAACAATTGAAGTTTAAATAACTGAATGGAACAAATCTAATATACATTTCTTGTTTATGAATTTAAGTAGGCCTATTACTTTTATCTTCTACTAAGTGTACATTTTGCTTGAATTTAATTTTAATTTAATCCAATTGTAATTGCAAAGTATTGCAGGAGTTATTTAAAAACGAATATCAATCATATTTACAATGAGTTTGAAGAGTCAACTCAAAGATTACCGGTCTGCAACTCATGGAGATACTCACGTTGTATAGAACAGTAATCAACATTTCCTGTAAATATTGTATCATATTTCATAACCTGATATTGCTTTTTAATGTTTTCTACAAACATTTCCTGACTTATAAAAGGTTGTCCATGTTGATCTTCGTTATTAATAAACCTAAAGCATTCTGGCCGGTTTTCTCTTTCTCAAAACACCTCGCTGTACAGGCAACACAGGTCATTAACAGAGGGCTAATTAAGAACAAAAATTTTGTTCTCGTTTTGGGGTAGTGTTAGGGCGCATTTGTAACCTAATAGTTGAGATTGTCCAGGGTCAGATGCTGACTGTGATAAGTTAAGCCTATTAAGCGCCACTGTTCTGTAGCTGCGGTCGTTATCACGATTACGCCTCCTGTCTATATTTCGTTGTCGTCGCATCGGAGGCATTTAAAAGAAAAAACAACAAATAAACAAATAATTATAGCTACACAAAACAACGATAAATGCATAAATTTAAGTTACAATCATGCTAACACAATCCGTCATAGCAACACAAAACAACGATAAATACACAAATTTAAGATACAACCATGCTAACAGGATCCGTCTTGGGGGTTATGTTTACACAAACCTAATAAATAAATGTATACTCAATGTATTTCATTGAATTGAAAAATAAATAACAGTAATTAAATTATACAGCTGATCAAAATGTAAACAATTATGTTCTTCATAAGGATAACATGGGAACTTTCAAAGCCACTTGAGCCCAAGGGACTTTTTCAAAAATGTAAGGCCAGTTTGCAAATATACGCGACACGCTCTTTCCAATGAGATGTCATTCGATAACATCGGTTAAGAAATGGTGGAGGAGTTCAACCGACAAACTTCGTGTTCACGTATTAATTATATAGATAGATTGATCTACTGTTCCAACTAAGATGATGGAGGTAATTAACTACAGTAGCGACAAATTGCACACAACTTACTTGTTATTTGGGTTAAAGACCATGGCTAGCAGTTCCAGCAGTGGGAACCAGTCTTGGCTAAGTTTAATGACACACAGTTCCACAAGCCTCTCACAGTTCTGCAGTATACACAGCTGGATGTTATGCTTCCAGCTGTTGACTGCGTCGTCTGTCAGGATCTTGGTGAATGAAACGGTCAGCCCTTCACGGAAAAACCTTTGACACGCTTCACTACGGACATCTTGTCCTGCAACAAGGATTTGATATTTGTTATTAAAATAGGCCTACTACAATATTCACTACTATTTATAAGATAATACTTTTTAAAGTTCGATGTTTTTAAGGATAGGCCCTATTTATTTTGTATTTAAGGTAAATTACTTTAACTTCTTTTATTGCTAAGTGTTTTTAACGTCACACACAACGAATCAGGAAGCTGGGTAGGTTGATTAGATGGTTAAATGTAGGGCCAGTTGAAAACTGGAGGGGATTCCTTACCTACTGTCTAACTTAGAATTTACCAATTACAATTCAAACTAAAACAAAATTGCAATAAATAATTTTCAAATTATAGCAGGAATACCAAGCTGTGGTAGGCTAGTATAGTAAAATAAGTGTCTTTAAACATTGGATGTGTGCTAAGACTGTAGTTTAAATAGAATGTTAGTGAAGTTCTCATATTTATATGTTATACTAAAGAACTTCCAAATCATTAATGACTAACTAAAGATAACATTTCTTCACTTGAGTCATGTTAGAAATCAAATAGGCCTATGTCGTTCATTTCCAATCCACTTCAGCGAGATCGTCTAGTTATAGGGGCTTTGGTCCTGAGATCAAATAGCTTTAAAGGCTTTAGCTAAAAGAAAATTTCAAGAGGCTCTAGCTAGTACCTAGTGTCCTGTGATGTGAAAGAAGGACATTTCAAAAGTTACTCAACATAAGGTACAGTATTTTATGATTCTTACCAGTTCTGCACAGATTGATAGCAGCTTGCATGAGGACCTCCAGTTCTTGCTCAGGCAGTACAGGCACCACCCACCGAGGACTGCTGATCTTCTCATCTAGCATCGCCAACTTTGCATGAGGGAAGTCTGGCTCTTGACACGAGCAGTACGGCTCTGTGCATGGCTCCTTCTTATCTTCAGAAGGTGGAGCCTCTCCTTCTACTCCTTCTCCTTCAACACCAACCCCCACCCCCACCCCCACTCCCACTCCCAATGTACCCGGCTGTAACACAGACAAACAGACCAATCTTTAAGTCAGTAACTAAATTGATCTAAATAAGTTTACAAACGAGGCGAAGATTTTTTGTTTCTTTTGGAACAGTTGTAGTTCAACATGTAACTCAAATTATGTAACTTACTAGCACCAGTGCCCGTTGTGTTTAAATAAAACAGTCTCTAGTAAAATAATGGTTATGAAATCCATACACCACTTTAGTCACTAATATTAATGGTACAGTTTAAGCACATGGCATTAACAACAACATTTAATAAAAAAAAAATTAATGCTGTTATGCAAACTGGTAAACTAATTATTGCCATCTATAAAAATAAATGGATTTTATTTTCCGAGTCGTGTTAGCTCTTCTACCCGACCGCTTTTCATAATTTTGGCCTTAAAAAGGTATGGACGTACCGCAGATTTGCCATCAAGCATCGGCATTCATTTTGACGTATCATTCGAGTTATGCACAAACTGCCTCCCTGTACATTTCTTATGGGAGTTAAATTTGGTTTTTTTCGAGTTCAATGTTTCGCAGGCGGGCGATGGTTTACAGGAGGGCTCTTCTACCCTCCTGATTTTTATAATTTTGGTCTTAAAGCTATGCAAGCTCATATTTGTCATCAAGCATCATCATTAATTTATCTAATGTATTACTCGGCAAAAGATTTTTTTTTCACTTCAATTAACGATGTATTCCAGCAGTTCGAATTACATTATACATTTTGGTCTAAAAACCTTAAGTGAAATACCAGCTCTCAATTTGAGCTATTGATTATTAAGATCGGACTACCTAAAGCACACTGCTGAATCACAAATAAACAATAATTACAATCGTTTTAGTACCTATCTGCAATCATGATACGCAACTCTATTTTTATTTAAGTTATTTTATATGTCTTTGTCTTAAAATACTTCAAAGACTTTCACTTGAGATATTGATAGTTTTAATCAGTTCAAGATACTGTATCGCTCAATCAGAAAATATAAATTTGATTAGCCTATATCTTGAAATGGAATTTAGTTTTATAGATATATTTACTTAATTCTAATTACGTTATTCTATTTGTTTTGACCTAAGAACCTTCATTGAAATACCAGCTTCCATTTCATTAAAGCACACAGCTAATACACGACCAACACAAATTGTTCAAAAAATTGAGTTATTTATCATCAATTTATAGCCAAACAATCTTGCTTGCAACCTCAACAGCACTTTCATAATTTTTTGCAAATCTTCACAAATCAGGCTATCCAATGACCTATTAATTAATAAAATCGGTTCAGTATAACTGTAGATTTAATTGTACAAAGCTTAACATCTTTAATTCAGTATTTTCTCACTACTATAAATTTGGAGGTTGCTTATCGTTTTTGCAAATACCTTTGAAATGGCCAAGAAATCGACCAAAGTGGAAGGTGATATTCTGAAAGAGAATAAAATTTCCTACAAATTACTATCATGTACTTCTTGAAAATACTCAATAAAGGCAGCCTAAAGTTGGCTACAAATATAAAATTGGAAATAAAAACTTGGAAAAAAGAAGTTTTAAATGTATTATTTTTTTTTTTTATTTTTTTCACCTCAAATATCTAATAAAATCAAACTTTCATAATTATTTGCAAATGTACACAAATTAGGCTTTCCATTACGACCCATTAAGTAACAAAATCGGTCCGGTAGAAGTCTAGATTTAGTTGTACAAAGTTTAACAAAAATATATCAAATTCAGTATCTTCTCACCACTATAAATTTGGAGATCACTTAGTTTATTGCCAATATCTTTTAAATGGAGAGGAAATCGACCAAACTGAATGTGATATTCTGAAAGAGAATAAAATTTACTAGGCCTACAAATAACTACTATGCATTTCTTGAAAATACTTAATAATGGCAGCCAAAAGCTGGCTACAAATAGAATCTTGAAAACAGAAACTTGAAAAAAGCAGTTTTTAATGCATTTTTGTTATTTTTACTTTTTTACCACAAATATTTAATAAAATCATAATTTTATAATTATTTGCAAATCTACACGAGCTAGGCTTTCTAATGACCCATTAATTAACCAAATCGGTCCAGTAGAAGTCTAGATTTAGTTGTACAAAGTTTAACAAAAATATCCCAAACTCAATATTTTCTCATTACTTGTCGAATTCGGAGGTTGCTTGGATTTTTTGCAAATAACTTTTACCTAAATGGTTCGAGGAAATCGACCAAAGTGGTAGGTGATATTCTGAAAGAGAATAAAATTTCCTACAAATTGTTACCATGCACTTCTTGGAAATATTCAAAAATGGCACCTAAAAGTCGCACGCTAAAGTGTGAAAAATACAGTTTTCAATGTATTTCTTATGGAAAACATGTTTTTTTTTTAAACTTTTCACCAAAAATCATAACAAAAACAAACTTTTATAATTATTTGCAAATCTAAACGACTTAACCTTTCCAACGACCCATTAATTAATAAAATCGGTCCAGTAGAACCCTAGATTTAGTTGTACAAAGATTTTTAAAACTGAATTATTTTGTTTAATTTGGGACTACATCTAACTTATTGCTTTAGTCATAACAAATATATCTCAGCCATCTCCTTTATGTACCCTAATTGATACAGCTTAAAAAATTGAGGTCGGTTAAATATAAAGGCGATAAAACTACCTGCAACTACTGCAGGTGGTTCCCATTTATTGATCTAGTAACAACATCAAGTTAATGTTATTAATATAATAATAACAATGATCAAAACAGCAACTTATACATGCAGATTATGTTTAATCATCAAGGCATTTTGTGAGATGTTTAAAAACTATTTAGAGCTATGTTAAAGAGTTTTTGACAGTAAGCATGTAAGTTACCTGTACATTATTCTGGCCATCAGGAGGCGGGTCCACAGCGATCCCCTGTCCTCTCGTAGCAATAGTCATGGTGTCTACACCCCAGTTCTAAATACCATCCGCTTAACACGTGAGTCTCTTACGTTTTCTAGTGTGCAAATCAAGTCTTGTATTTAATATTACTCTACATCATCACACCTGAAACAAAATACAAATGATAACACTATACAAGAGTCAATTTTTTGTTAAGAAACACATTTTTTTAATAGGTGAACAGAACCAGGCCTCTTTTGAAGCAGTAGCAGAACTAAGTTCTTACAATTTTGGATAAAACCTATAGTGAAGAGACAGTTAAATTAAACATGTAAGGCTACTTATTCGAAGAGGAAGTGCATATTTACATCTTGAGTGCATTTTTCAAGGTAGGCCGGTAGGCCTATGTTAAGATTTTCATTGTTTTGTGTTAGAGTAATTATTAATTGTAGGCTAGGTATCATAGCCATTAAATTGAGCGGAGAAAAATATTTTCGTACTGATATGAAGAGGACAAGAGCTAAAAAAGTAAATTTAATTATGCTGTCCTACTGTTTAAATAAAAATATTTCAGACAACTTTTCATTAAATTAATGAGCTTTTGTTTCTACGAATAATTTAAGAAAATATATTCAACTTTATGATTTTTAACTGTGATATGCAAACAATGAATCCTCAGTGTAGTGTTGCATACACTGAAAGTGCTGATTGTGATAAGTTTAACACACGATTCTAAAAAAAATTTGTAATATTTGTGTTTTTCAACAAAACAATCGATAAGCCTATTTTTCTAAACAAAATTGGGTTCAAAATGTTCCCTGTGTTTTCTTGGAATTTAGGTTGCATTACCCTATGTCCATATTACTGTTGAAAATGAGGTTATAAAATGTGTAAAAGTATCTAGACCTTAAAGTGAAGTAGACCTATTTTGATTGCTCATGACTATTTTTTGAGCAAGGATAACTGCATTTTGAAGCAAATGAATTGTTGGTTGTTTAATAAGGATAAAGAAGGTGAAATCCATACTACAAATATTACGCTAGTAGTCTTGTTTTTCTATAGGCCTACTACTTTTAATAATTTAAACAATTTTTTATCACAAAAACATAAACCTACAAAAAATACAATGGGAATCCAATCTAACTTTTAAAATTTGTATTTGTATACAACAGCTGTTCCCAAACTTTTTGGTTTGGCGACCCACCTATTAAATAATAATATTAGGCCATAAATATTTATTATTATAGGCCTAATTATTATCATGAAACTGAGAAACATACAACTAAATAAAAACTGTAACGATGATGATGCTATTAAAAAAATGCTAGCAAAAAATCTAGTCCAAAACACTATTGCTTTAGAAATTTTTAATGATTTACACCAAGTTTTAAGCCTACTATTTACAAGAGCTTATTGTAAACTAGCAGAGTACCCGTCCTTCGTACGGGGTTGGAATATTAGTATAAAATGCTTATTGCAGTTAAGTTAAACCTCTGGAGGCATTCGAATTATTCATTGAAAATAACATCAACAAAAAGCAAACAAAGAAAAACAACAAACTGTTTTTTACACAAAAGATATGTTGTACAGGGATACCTATTCTGGCACATAGATAATTTGATTCTGAGTTTGTTTAAATATTACAATAATTTTTTTTTTCATTCGAGATTTTTAGGGACTTATGTCTCTACAAGCCACTAGTACGGTACTAAATTAAAAGTCAAACTAAAACTTTGAAGAAATTTTCCTTGATCACAATTCTAGAGCAGCGTTATTCTTGCTCAAAAACCCTATACGCATTCGGTCCTATTCTGGTGCTCACTAGACCGCTCCCAGTAGGCTATATGAAAAATTACGAGTCCCAGTAATAAAAACATTTTTAATGCTTTGCCTCCTCCCGCGACCCACCGTTGAATTGCGACCCATAGTTTAGGAAATGCTGGTATACAGTAACTTATTCACTATTTTCAGTAATGAATCCCCTTTATCCAATGATACCGCCTTTGTTCTAACTAGCCTATATGCCTTCAATGTTTCAAATTCTCCTAAAATTTGAGTAGGCTACATCTCACTGGACGTACTCAACGTACACGGGCGAACGGCGTGATAAGTGACCAAGGAACTGTATTACATGGCATTCCACAGGGCTTACTGAAGCGTTATTATGCGCCTAATGGTTAATGGTTGGAATGGCCTAAATTCCAAAAAATTGTAAATTTAAAATTTCCCATGTTATTCTTATGGAGAATAAGTCAACTTTCCTTGTTTGCTTGTTTATGAACATATTTTGATAGAATATGTTAAATACATTCATTTCTTACTAAACTATTAACATTTTACAACAAAAAACACCTTTTTACCCTCCCTGTTGCAGCAAACCTAAGTACTCGTTAATCTAATTCTATTTAAATAGGGAATAAATGTGATTTTTTAAAGGAGACATTTTAGTGTAAATCCAATCAGGCAAATGGAAATTCGCTTAGTCTGCAGGTTTGCTGCAGCGGGGGTATTTTTCTTTTTTCTTGTGTAAATGTAATTTTGTGTTTGTTTGTTGTATGAAAAAAACAATAGATAAAAAAAATAGGCCTAGCTAAGAAGAAAAAGTTTAGGCTAATAACATGAAAATTTTGAAACACGAATGTACCTACAGTACACTCCCTCATATCCGGACTCCTCGGGACCGAGGCCAGTCCAGATAACGGTTTTTCCGGTTAAGCCGACGTCCCCAAAAACTCAATAAAATGGACCGTTTACGATGATATTCAACTTAAATTTAGGAGAGCATTGTATTTAGACATGTAATCACTGGTCTCAAATCTTTCCCACGAGAACTGTCGTTACAGTACCGCCCACTTCCTGCCGATCTAGTTCGGTTAAACCAATGTGCTGATAATAATTTTCTCGTTAAAGATATTTCATTTCCGTCGGGTGTAGTCCGGTTAAACCGATGTCCGGTTAAAAGGTGTCCGGATGAGAGGGAGTCTACTGTAGTGGTTCCCTGACGTAAACTTAGTTAATCAAAGTATTGTCCTAAACCCTTTATATTGACGTAAGCTAAACAGGTCAAAATAATAAAATTGGCAGTATTTTCCTAATTAAATATATCCATAATCGCAACAAATCTTTATCCCAAGAGATAAAGACTGGTTAAGAAGCCTAAAACCTTTGCAATTGAAAAGAGTACCGAAATAAAGTCTTTGTTGAGGACAGATATTATTTTCCTGAAGAAGAAAGAAGATTAACTTCATTTCATAACTCATTTCACAAACTCTAAATTTTATTTATGTGAAACTTAAAAACTACACTTTTATAATATGGAACAATTTAAATTTTTTTTTTCTTTATCAAAGGTTTTAAAACAACTTTTCTTATAATTCTAGCACTTTGATAACAATTTAAATTTAATTATCTGCATGTAAACAAAAGTTGAGTTTGTACAATTTTCGTAAACAAAAAGTTGAGTGTACAATATAAGATAATCTCTGGGGTTTTTAATGTGAATCAGGTACAAAAACTCCCCTACAAAGAGTATAAGAAAATTAAATACAGTACCCTATGGTTATGGCATCTGCAAAAACAAACACACATTTTTAGCTGGCACTTTGTGGAGATTAACCAATAACTTTGCTTTTAAATTAAATATACAATTCATCATTTTAAAGACAAAATATGTAGATAAAATGGGCAAATGCTAATTCTGGACACTTAAGACTTTTATTTTTATTTTTTATTAACATTTTTTTCATTTAACTTTGTCAAATAATGAAGTCTTGGTTTTTGCAAAAAAATAACACATTGAACCCACATAAAGTTTTTACCAGTTTGAGATATGTCATCAACAGAAACAAAAAGTTCTCTATGAGACCAGTTAATTCAAGCATGCAAATCTCCACTAAATATAAAATCTTGCAATTGGCAGAAAACATTAATCGTGCTATTTATAATAGATTTCAATTTAAAAACTTAGGAAAATCAAGTAGACCTAACCAGTACCTAGTTTTAAAAATCGGTCTACTAGGCCTAGGCCTATATGTATTAATTTATAATATGGCATCTACAGTAACAAGGAAAATATAGTCCTCCTTAAAAGAAACAAACGACACAACTTCCATAAAATAAATACAGTAATCAAAAATATATTTAAATAATTAATCTAAAGAAAATCACGAACGTTTCAAAACAAACGGAACATTCAAAGGAAAGAGAGGTAACAGATGCAACCATATTTGACAAACAAGCCATTGAGATGGATCAATACCTTTATTTATTCCAAGCTCAGCAATTGCTTTTAACTCTGTACCTACCAAATATTCAGATTGATAGTGCAACATGCAGATAAGATAAATTTGATAACGTACACTATGACTACCCAGACATTTTTCAGCATGCTAGGTGACACAGTTTTCTAGTGTTAAATTACAACATAACTTACAATGTTAAGAAAACTTTCAATGACAATATAGTTTTAGATTTAAATGTGATATCTTTCAGAATATGACTTAGGATTTACATTTCTTACACTTGTTATTCTAGGCTATGGTGTGTTTAGTTAGAGTTTGTGCGTTTCTTCGTGAAGCCTTGGTGTGAAGCGCTGTAGTGGCAAGTGGGGAGCCGAGCGCGAGAGGGGAAGTTGACGTCGTCGTCCTATTCTGCTACTAGTCTGATTAAAGACATTTCTCAGCATTTTTCGGAGTTGGGATCGCGGTGCGGAGGTGGTTCAGTTTGCTTGCACGAGTTGTGTGATCATATTAATGTAGGCTAATTAAGGCCATAACAAAAATGAGTATTTTCAATACCTAAATATATAATTTTTTACCTCATTAAGAGGAATATGAAAATGTTTATGAACGGAGGATAGCATTTACTACTTTATTAAATTCTCTATTTTAAAATTTAGAGTAGGCCTAGCCTAGGCTATTTTTAATAGGTAGCCTACTCCAAAATTACTCTTTAATGAGCCAGAGATTTTTCTTGGGCAAAAACCAGTACAAATTATGCACTACTATTATGCAAAACTAAGGCTTAAACATACCTAAGAAATTGTATTTTCACACCCCTGTAAACTTAAAAATAAACTAATTAAGTTTTAAAATAATCAAACTGGCATCCCGAATGTTTTTTAAAAAGAGTGTATCCGTAATGTTGCTTGGTCAGGGTGAGAGCAC